AACCTTAAGTATGGCTTCCAGTGCCACTCACACACAGAACTAAATGTTAGGGTTTGTCTACCGAACTGTTTTAGGGCACAATTTAAATGTTACTTGAAGGCTTTCATTTGGCATGCAATTAGATGGACAGAATGTGCGTCCGACTCTGTCATGCTTCTCAATAGATTGCTAACGTCTGAATGTGGTCGCGTTTAATTGTTATTGTCTATGGTGCGCGAGAGAGCTATTCACAGACAGGACAACTCACTCTGTCCCACAACAACTATTTTCTGGCAAAAGTCGACCAGTGCGACAGTCTGAATGCACACCTCTCCAGCACCTGTTCCTGCATCCTGCGCTGCGCTCTTTGCATGCCCAGGTGGGATTCTGAAGGAACGCGTCAGCTGCTGTGTAGCGGCTGTACGTCGGCAGAATAATGAAGATGCTGATTAGCATCCCCTAGACGCACCACCGAGGCATCGAATTCTGCGCTCATTCAGCGTAAGACAAATATTAGGCTTTGTTTTGCATGTAACGGCACACAAATAGACGCTGTTTACCTGTTTGCGGTTACTATCGAATCAAGAGGAGACTTTTTTTTTTGCCGCCCGGTTTTATGATTGCAGTTAAAGTCAAAGTTGTATGACAAATCAGGAGACAAAGCAAAATAAAATGTGTCCATATTCATAACACATCCTCTGGATGCTTGTCATCCTTCAAATTCTAATTCCCTTTGTCTTTGAAGATAATAGGCCGTAAATCGTCCTTGTTTGCGAGCCAAGCCCCTGAAAGCTGGCTGTTTACGAGTTATAGCACAGGCCGTCTAATGGCCGAGCTCCAGCTGTGTGTCCTTTTAAGGTGAACGCCACGTCATCCTGTTGTCCAGTCAGCCTGATGAAAAACAATCCTGCTAATTAATAGCTACTATTCATGTCATAATGTTCATTTCGCCCATTACGAGACCACGCTCTTAGTCATGCACAAGTCACCCTTGCTTTTACCATTAAGTGTGTCATTTTGTTTGAATGAACGAACTGACAGGAAAGGATTTCATTCAACTGTTTAAATATCCGTTCTTCATTTCCATTTTATATTTTCGGTCGATAATTACACCCTTTAATGTTCTGGGCAGCAGCACAGACAAGAAGATGAAAAAAATAAATGGGTAGAAATTTTGAACATTTCGGTATTGTTGGAATATCATGAATAGGGAAGAGCTTGTGTCAATGTGAGGGTTCATTCATCTCAGTATTAATGACCAAGAAAGGTTTAGAGCGCGTATCACCAGTCAGCGCGATCCAGGTCTGAACCAATTTAAGGTCTCATATGTACGTACCCACAGTCAATTGCTGTAAAATAGACATAAAGCAACGACATCGCTACGTACATGTTTTTTTTTTCTCTCACATAGGCTGCTGTGTATGTAGTGGAGCTAATCTATATTCAGTGCTATGCTAAGCTTAGAACAGAACGAATTGATGGACCAGTACTTTTTAAAAATTCTTCTAGGGGCTAGCCCAAAAATATTTTATGATATGTGCCACTGTGCTTTTAAATAGAATGTGTGATCGAAACACACCCAAACATCCACTAAGGTCGTTTACCAGAACACACAAGATGAGCAAACTGAGATTTTTTTTTTATGTTCATGCAAAGCTTTGCAACTGTACTTGTACTCTGAAATTGATTTTAATATCCCCAGTTTGGGCCCTTTCAAGGTCTAAGAATACTTTAGAAGACACTTTGCTAGGGAAGTGGAATCATGTGCAAGGAATCGTGATATTGCATTTATATAATTACAGAATGTGGCTGAAGTCATCTCTTCCTTCCTATATAGTAGTTACGTGGACAGAAAACATAACTACATGGAGGATGCCCTCGTTTTGATTTTCAGCATCAACAGGTGAATGTTGCTGTATTGTGACAGCAACTTTTTATTCGAGTAACTCATTCACATACTGAGGGTGGTATAGCAGAAGCAACTAGATACCATGTAACTGCTGCTCACAGGATTTGAACAAGCAACTTTTCCAACAATGGACAACCGCTCTATTTACCACTTGAGTCGTGCTGTCCCCAGAGGACAAAGTAGATTGATGGCAGCTGTGATTGCCCTGATGGATTTCAGCGTTAGATGACCTGTTTCCGATCCTTCAGTCAGCGTGCTTTCTGTCCGGCAGCCGTTCAAGAGGAACAATCTTGAAAGCACGAGCTCCAGACACATTTGCAATGTGCTCCACACTCACCATGCTGCCTAAATAATACACTGCAGCCATGTGAGAGGTGAGACGAGGTGCCAACGTCCAGTTCGCTTATAAGACTCAACAGCACAAAAGCATCGGGTTTATGGAGAAAAAAAAAGCGGCATGAATTCATAATCATCCAATTGACGTCATTGTGGCTGTGATATTTGTGCTTTCAAACAAGGTGCAACACACGTCAATGTGTCAGAAGAGGTCTACTAAATATGGTCGTTTTGTGTCCATTAAGAAGATGCAGGTCAGGGACACGCATTACAGACGTGTATGACTACTCAACAACCTCGGTGTACATACTCATCACCGCTAGTTCTAAATGATAAAAAAAGGATTTTCTGCATGCATTTTTTTTTCCGGGGCATATTCTCACCACTCGTGTGCAGCATGTGTCACTAAGCTCAGTCTCCTTCCTGCTCCCTCTTGTCAACACTCGTAAGTAGCAAAATTCACTATGTGGTGTGTCAATGTTGCGGTCATTGGTTGTGACCACCTGTTCATATTGTACAGTAGATATGCGTGTCTAACATGTGCGGAACACCACCCGGATACCGATATCCAGCTGTTTTCATCACGCTGCCCTTTCCATTTTGACGGTCATTTATTTTCATCTTGCCCTCGACAAGGACGAATAGGATCCATAGAGTAGTTGGATGTTAGTCATGGTGCTGGTGATGGCATTGAGCTGGAGGAATCCTAAAAGAAAAGTAACTGATCAGATTTTATAGCGCCCCAATTGGCCGTGACCAGACACACTGTGTTCTCCGAGTAAGCTTTCCCCAGGCCTGCTTCTCTTACTCACTGTGTCGCACCCTGATAGAAATCCAGTTGGGTTTCCCTTCAGGGAAGCTCTCCGGCCCCTCATTGTCAACAGTCACGCTAATTGACATGAAAAAAGAAAAATCCTGATTATTCTCCTAATTATGAGGCTTGGAGGATTAATTTGTCTGATGAACTAATTCTTGTTGCCTGGATGTACTTGTTTGTGCTTCTAGTGTTCACTTTCAAATCCAGACAGCACTAAAACAGTGTGAAGACATTTATTAAGGGGAGCGTGGACTTTGTATTCACATGGAATTGCAAATTGTCACTTGTTGGTCAGGTGTCTGCAAAATATTGAAGACTTACATTGAAAGATTGAAATTCTGGACTGAATATGAGCACGCACCAAATTTTACCCATTCAAGATGCCAACCTAATGTCCCCAAATATTGCCATGAAGTTTCATGCTTTATTCACAGAGAAAGGAATCAATCCTCAAAAATAATTAGAGATGAATTTGATCATCGGAGTTAAGGAAAATGTCAAGAAATCCCATCTCACAAGGGCTCCAGTACAGGAATTTGTTGTTTCTGCCAAATAATGCTGACTAACAAACCAACCTGCGCCTGGCCTTGCTGTTACCACACAAGATTAGGACGGTGGAGAGAATCAAAGTAGTGTTGATGGGGATTTGGCGAGGACAGTGTCATGACTGAGTGGGTGGTTACTGTCAGGAATGGGAGCCTCCTTTTGTTTAACATTCACACTGTTTTTCGGTGGATGTGTTTAATGGGATTGGCTGTGACTGGACCTTAACGGGGCCTTGGTGACTGATCCCAGTGTCTCTGGGAGATCTAGCAGGCGGCGTTGTCCAAAGCCAGGTTCCCCACTGGGTAATCAGCTCAACTCCTCCTGATTGGAGGTGACATTTTAATGTCTGGCGCGAGAGCGTGGTCAGCCCCGCTTAACCTGACCCCCTGCCAAACCACCGCACCCTACCAGTGCCCTCTGTTCTCAATTTGCCCTTCTGGGACTGTAGAAATCAGGCCAATTTTAACTCTTTATGGGCTTGTTAGTGGGTACCAAGGCAGCTCCGTATGTTCCACCATGAATTTGTGGCTCTCCTCATGCTGGCTCTGAGTGAATTCAGGTCCTGCGGAAGCTCCAGCTTAACTGAGCGTTTAAGTGTGATGATTCCCTTTGTGCCACTTCCATTTTCTCTTTCTTTGCTACGCAGAGGAGTTTTAAAGTGTTGGCACCTGCTCATGTGTAAGACTTTTCTCCTCAAACACGGGATGAGTCTTTGAATTTGCATTGTTGTCTTTTACGCTGCAAGATATGTTACATCACATAAGCTTGGTCAAATTTAACTATTGCTATGGGTGAGCAGATTCATATATTTTTTTTAAAGGTAAGCATCTCATTAGATAATAGCTAATGGTCCTATGGTTTTATGACACAAAATTCTGAATAGTAACATCAGTAACACAACACGATGGGTTTTCTGGCTGGTCCACCACTGTTACAGGTCACTGAGGTCAAAGGCTTGGGGTCGCCGTGGCAACAAGAGACGTTCTCCTTATTGCAGGCTGTTAAACTATTGCCATAACAAGACGACACACGCAGGATTTCTCAGAACAAAGCAGAGAGCTCCTACGTGGATGTGAATCGAAGGGGCAGTGTTTATGTACTTTGTCTCGCTTTGAGCGACTCACGTGAACTGAAAATATGAGGTGCGGTGAAACCTAAAACTGCACCCCGTGGTAAACTAACATTTGTAGATGATGTTGTCTCTGGCTCTGGCGTTAAGAGCAGCATGAAAGAAGAATTAAATGTGTTGATGTACTGCCCATTTCCCATTAAATGTAGATATGGCACATTTACGAAAGACGGCCCTTTAACTCTTTACCCTCACTGATATTGATTGACCCGTCTCGTGCTGCCATGCCTTCAACTCATCCTGACGTCTCCTCTTTATCCCTCTGTGCATGTGTGTCTGCTCAGCAGTGTCCGGCCATTCAGAACCGCAGCAGTCAGATTCCCCGATCCCTAGCAAAAGGCCCTCGTCACGGTCGGAGACTTCTGAGAGCCCGCTGTCCTCAAAACGTCCCCGGGCAGCTGAAAAGCGAGCTGCAGAGCAGGTGAGCGCCGCAAATCACAGAACTTGAGGTGCAGCCATGCATACGCTTTCACAGAAGTCCGGCCCTTTTTGGTCTCCAATTAGTAAGCCCTCATTATCAGCTTAAAACTTTAACTCCAGTTGAAAGAAGGAGAACTACTTTGGATGAATTTTGTATTCAACTTGCCAAGCCTTTTCATAGTATTCGGTACTTTCTTTTCAACTCTCCTCAAAATTATTTTAGCCTCTCAGCCGCAGTTGCATTGCTAATTGTGTATCAGGTGGAAAATCAATAAGGTATTTGACAGATGAGAGCACTTTGAAGTGGATGCCAAGAGTGAGTGGTTCTCACTATTACACACTTGTCTGTGATCAGAGGAATCTGGTTGCTTGAGGGAAGGCTCGCCTCACCCCACCCTCCTCATCTCCAGCTTCTCTTCTCTCACAAAGCCATTTCACCCTATTAACCCTCCGTGAATTTACCCCCCACCCCTCTCGTCTGCTTCTCTATCTACTTTCACTCAGATGTACCAGTGCCCTTACTGCAAGTTCACCAACACAGACCTGAACCGTCTCAGAATGCACGTGATGACGCAGCACTCTGTCCAGCCCATGTTACGCTGCCCGCTGTGCCAGGACATGCTCAACAACAAGATCCACTTGCAGTTCCACCTCACACACCTGCACAGTGTCGCGCCAGACTGTGTTGACAAGCTCATCGCCACAGTAAGTCAATGACCTCGTCTTGAACCAGTTCTCCGATATTCCGCGGTTTTAAGCAAACAATTTCTTATTTGTTATGCTTGCGCGTTGGCTATTCAAAGTGATTTATTGTCGTCATCCAGTGGCAGAGGAAATTGAATACGATTTAGTACAGTGGATATAAAAAGTCAGCTCCCCACCCGCAGCCCCGGTTCAAATGCCAGGTTTTTGTTGATGAGCCGCATTGTGTTTGTCTGCTTCAAGCTATGTTGCATCAGAACCTGGTTTGTAACGGGCCAATGAAACTAAGGTTTATTTTTTTGGACATAATTCCAAAAGGTATGTGTGACGCAAACGCAACACCATATACGTACCGTGAAACGTGATGGTAGCTGCAACTGAGGCCTTAAACCAGTGGCCACTTCTACATACCAAATTATGGCACGAAACCCCTTTGGCATCTGCTAGAATAACAATTTAAAATAAAAATAAAATCAAGGAAAGCCTACTAGACCATCTGAATGTGGTTTGGCACTTTAAATGGTGACAGGCATGTGCTGGCTCCCATTTAACATGGGTTTGAATGGAATGTGATTGGTTAATTCTGAACTCAACACTATCCTAGATATGAGGGTGTCAAACAGGGGTGCGTGGACTGTAGATCAACACTGTGATGCCAAGGTCGCGGCAAGTAAGATAACTGCAGTGCAGGATAAGAAAGCACACAAAATGTACGCAATTATAGGAACGTATGGCCATCGCACATGCAGGAAGTTAATTCCCGTAAATATCGATTTGATGTGCTATACTTTATTGTCGTATGTCTGATGGAATTTTTGACCATTCATCCAGAAGAATATTTGTGATGTCAGAAGTTACCAATGTTGGCTTTCAATCAATTTAGTAAATCCCAAATCCCTCAAAACTGTCCAAAATTCTCTGTAAGATGAAGAATTAAGTTTCAGTGGGAACGACAAGCTCAACTCCTGGATGATTGAGTAATTAATTAATCGGTGAGCTTGCTTCCATAAACAGACAGAAGGAGAGGATACTGAGGCCTGTCGTTAGATTTATATCAACCGCAGTGTACTGCTGCATTGTTCTCTACTGAAAGTCGTCTCCTTGCTTCCAATAATGCTCATCAAAAGGGGGAATAAAATTTTATTTGCCCCGTTTTCTTGTAAATCACTGAGCAAATCTTTGTTCTGTTCTATCTTGTACGGCTCAATAGCGGGCCGGACAATCACACAGTAAAACATTGCTCTATCTACGGCCTGGTCGTCTTCACCCCCCCCCCCCCCCGCCCCCCATTTCGAAAGTAAATGGCAAGCACATTAGTATGGTAGACTGCAATATTTATTTCTTTTATAGAGGTTGTAATGTACTGAACCACTCCAGAGTAGCATGACAGAAGACCCGTAATAGGAGACACATTAAAGCCAACACATTTTTATAACTAGTGAATGCAGATGGAAAAGTGCTTTATCCTTTCCACTCATCCAAGGAGAAGAGCATAATTAATTCTGAAATAGGTGACTTATTTCTTGCCAAGCATGCATATCGATATGTTCTGGCATACCGTTTTTTTTTGTTTTTTTTTTGTAATCATCCCATTGTCTTCACATCTCATCCGTCCTACTTCAGTTCTGTCGACCCAAAGTCTTGGGAGCCTCTTGTAGAGGGTTTCTTTTATTCACTTTTATTCCCCCACATGGGTGTTTTCAATGTTTTAGCACGGGTTTTTAATTAAAGCTACATTCTAGTTCATCATCATATAATTGGTACAGATGTTTAATTAAAACCTCCAGCTATTTTGCTTCTGGTACTGCTGTATTCTTAATCGTATATATGAGGTTCCTAATTAAACAAAACGTTTTTTGTGTATGGGGCAAACAAGTTACAAACAGTTCTTTATATCCCCCAGCCGTCCCTCTCACTCGGTGCTTCATTATCAGTCTGTGTAAGGCTGCAGCAATGAAAATGAGCTTCATTAATTCTGGGTCTGGCTGGATGATAGCCATTTTGAACTATGTTTGCCAATTAGATGGACCAATTCAAAAGTGACCTTGGGATACTTTGCTTTTTCCTCTAATAACCTAATCAAGTAGTTGTCTCAAATCATTCTGCTTTGTTTTTGTTTTGCATTTCTATTGTACCAGACCGGAGTTAGAGACAAAGAAATGGTCGATTACAATATGTTGATTTTGAATGATGTTCACTAGTCGTGTTTTCTAAAATGTTGATTCCCCCCCCCCCCCCCCCCCCCCCAAGGTGACAGCGACCGATGTCCTACCAGCAAGCATGTTCATACCTGTTCCTGGTTCAAAAAAAGAGTCTCAGAACCCCTCTCATGCTGTTGCCAATGATGAAGATACAACAAAACAAGCTGGTCAGTGTCTGGATTTTTCACCCTTTTGTTTCTTAGGGTTTCTACAAAGAAACATTTAAATCACATTTTATATGCTTGCAAATTCAGTTCAACTATACACAGTTGTGTACAGGAAATTAGCGTTTGACATTTCTCTATACTCTTGTTTTCTCCACAGATGCTTTAGATGCTGATCCGGAGAAGGGAGTTTCACTTCCTACAGAAATAGTTGAGGCTCGCAAGTCACCTCAAGAAGATCAGCAAACAGAGAAGGATGATGCTACTGGATTTCTGTGCTGGAAAAAAGGCTGTAATCAAGTGTTCAAATCATCCAACTCTCTCCAGATGCACTTCAATGAAGTTCACAACAAAAGGCCTCAGCTTCCTGTTTCTGATCGCCATGTCTACAAGTATCGTTGTAACCAGTGCAGCTTGGCCTTCAAGACTGTGGAGAAGCTACAACTCCATTCCCAGTATCATGTAATCCGAGCAGCGACCATGTGCTGCCTCTGCCAGCGGAGCTTCAGGACGCTACAAGCGTTGAAGAAGCATTTGGAAACCAGCCACCTGGAGCTTAGTGAAGCTGATATCCAGCAGCTGTATGGAGGCTTATTGATGAACGGTGACATTATGGTCATGGGTGATCCAGCCCTTGGTGAAGAACATGGAGGTCTGGGAGAAGATGACAAAGAAGGGGATGAGAGTGACACAGAGGAAAAGCAAAGCCCAACAGGCAGTGACTCTGGCTCACTGCTGGAAGATTCTGGATCTGAACCAAAACGTGCTTTGCCATTCAGAAAAGGTCCCAACTTTACTATGGAAAAATTCTTAGATCCATCTCGTCCATTCAAGTGCACTGTGTGCAAAGAGTCATTCACACAGAAGAATATTCTGCTGGTTCACTACAACTCTGTCTCCCACCTGCACAAGGTGAAGAGAGCTCTTCAGGAATCCACCACTGGTCAGCCGGAGCCTACGAGCAGCCCTGACAACAAGCCATTCAAGTGTAGCACTTGTAATGTGGCATATAGCCAGAGTTCCACTTTGGAGATCCACATGCGCTCTGTTCTACACCAAACAAAAGCAAGGGCAGCTAAACTTGAAGCTGCGGGAGGTATAACTAGCTCTGCAAGTGCTACTGGTGGAGGTGGCGGAGGTATGATCATCAGCACTTCAACGGCAAGTCCAGGCCCAGCAAGCAACTCAACAACAAACTCGACCAACCATGGCACCTCTGGCACTCAAACAGCGCAGAATATTCTTGGAGGAACGCACGTTTCCCAGAGTCATAGCCATGAAACTAACAGCTCACTTAGCAGCCATTCCTCACCGTCGGAGAACAATGAGGTAAAAAAGGCTAAATATGCAGATATGCTCTCTTCACGGGGACAACAGCAGCTTCAGCAACAACAGCAATTAGCTCACGCGCAAGCCCAAGCTCAGCTTCAGCAAGAGCTCCAGCAGCAGGCTGCACTTCTACAATCCCAGCTCTTTAACCCAGCACTTCTGCAGCACTTCCCCATGACAACTGATGCACTTCTCCCCTTACAGCAACAACAGTTACTGTTTCCTTTCTACATCCCAGGAGCAGAATTTCAGCTAAACCCAGAGATCAACATCAGTAATTCAGCACTTGGCCTAACAGGAGCAACCACCTCCTCGCTGCTAGAAGATCTCAAGAACTCAGCCCAGCAGAGCTGCTTGCAGCAGCAACTGATGCATCACCACCTTCAGCAGCAAGCTCAACAGCAGCAGCAGCAATCGCTGCCGCCTCACTCACAGGCACAAGGACAGATGGCATTGCTGCAACAGAGTGCTTCTCTCCACCAGCAGGTTGAAAAAAAGCAGAAGCCTCCCTCTTCGCAAACCGAAAAAAATATTCAAAAAGACAAAGATGCAACTGAAAAAAATGAGGATGTCAACAAAGATTCGATGGATAAACTAAAGGAAAGGAGGGACATTCAACACATCACAACTAGTATTAATCATGACTCCGGTTTACTTCCTCCAAGGATTGCTTCAGATGCTCGTGGAAACGCAACCAAAGCCCTGCTGGAAAATTTTGGGTTCGAGTTAGTCATTCAGTATAATGAAAATAAACAAAAGGCCCAGAAAAGGGGAACTGGGCTGACAGGATCAAGTGGACCAGGTGGGATCACAAGAGTGGTAGATCCCATTGAGGGACTGGAGAAACTGGAATGTGAGGCCTGTGGCAAGCTGTTTTCAAATATACTCATTCTAAAGAGTCACCAGGAGCATATCCACCAGGCTTTCTTCCCATTTCGATCCCTTGAGAGATTTGCCAAGGAATACAGAGAGAATTATGATAAACTATATCCACTGAGACCGCCTACACCAGAGGCTGCCCCAGCCCCTCCACCTCCTCCCCCACCCCCTCCGCCCCAAAGAGCTCCTACACCAAATATTCCTGTGTCTGCAGCCTCACTCACGCCTCCAACTGTACCTACTCCACAGCCTCCAGTTCCAATGCCACAAATTCCCATGCCAATGGATTTGCCAATCTTTTCACCACTAATGATGCAACCCATGTCGCTCCAGTCTTTACCCAGCCAGCTGACTCCACAGCTACCCTCTGTTGAACCAAGCCTGGCCTCAGACTTGGCCCAGCTCTACCAACAGCAGCTCACCCCGGCCATGCTGCAGCAGCAACAGAACAAGAGGCCACGGACACGTATCACAGATGACCAGCTTCGGGTCCTGCGACAGTACTTTGATATAAACAATTCGCCCAATGAAGATCAGATTAAAGAGATGGCCGATAAATCAGGACTGCAGCAAAAGGTCATTAAGCACTGGTTCAGAAACACTCTTTTCAAAGAGAGACAACGCAACAAAGACTCTCCGTACAACTTCAATAACCCACCAACCACAACACTTGATGATACTAAAATTGACTCTAAACCACCTTCCCCTGAACCACAAAAGCAAGACTTCTATGGAAGTAAGAGATCTTCTAGAACTAGGTTTACAGACTACCAGCTGAGAATCTTACAAGATTTCTTTGATGCGAATGCTTATCCTAAAGACGATGAGTTTGAACAGCTTTCCAACCTTCTGAGCCTCCCCACTCGTGTTATTGTTGTTTGGTTCCAAAATGCTCGCCAGAAGGCAAGAAAGAATTATGAGAACCAGACTGATGGGGCGAAAGATGGCGAGAGACGAGAACTCTCCAACGATCGGTATATTCGCACCGCCAATCTGAACTACCAGTGCAAAAAATGCAACTTGGTTTTCCAGAGAATATTTGACCTCATAAAACATCAAAAGAAGTTGTGCTACAAAGACGAAGACGAAGACGGACAGTATGACAGCCACAATGAGGATTCAACTGATCTTTCTAACGAATGTTATACTCCCTCTGGTTCCTCCTGCCACACCCCAATGCCCTCCTCTTCAAGTCTCTGCCCACTTCCACCGACAACTTCAGCATTCTCACACCTCCCTTCAGTTGATAAGGAGGAGGCGTCACCAGCAACCACCTCAAACCTCCATGAGGAAAAGTCAAAAGAGGTACCTGACATTCCGGCTGATCCCCCAAGCAAGACCTCTATTAAGCAGGAAAATGTACCCCAACCCCAATCGGAGTCACAAAAGCACAGACATCCGAGAGAAGAGAATATCCAACCAATGTCCAAGCCCAACAAACACTCCTCTTCTTCCTTTGCCCAACAGCAACTGCAGTGTGTTCCATCAGCTTCTCAGACAAGCCAGGCCCCTTCCCAAAGCTCTCACTTGAGCCACAACCCCCACATGAGTTCGGCTCCACAACAAATGGCACAGCAGATCATTCCATTCCAGTGTGATCAGTGCAAGATCGGCTTCCCCTCCTTTGAGCACTGGCAGGAGCACCAGCAATTACACTTCCTCTCTGTGCAGAATCAGTTCATTCACCCACAATTCATTGACCGCTCAATGGACATGCCGTTCATGCTATTTGACCCGAGCAATCCTCTCCTGGCAGGTCAGTTACTCTCTGGGACGATGCCCCAGATCCCCAGCAGCTCTGCCACTTCTCCATCCACCCCCACATCCACAATGAACTCCCTGAAAAGGAAGTTGGAGGAGAAAGCCGGCACGAGCCCAGGAGAGAATGACAGCACAAACAGTGAAGAGCCACATAGAGACAAGCGGCTTCGAACCACCATCACACCTGAGCAGCTAGAGATTCTCTATCAGAAGTACCTATTGGATTCTAATCCAACACGTAAAATGCTTGACCACATCGCGCATGAAGTGGGGCTGAAGAAGAGAGTTGTGCAAGTCTGGTTTCAAAATACGAGAGCAAGGGAGAGGAAAGGCCAGTTTAGAGCAGTGGGGCCAGCTCAAGCTCATCGGAGATGCCCCTTTTGCAGAGCTCTTTTTAAAGCAAAAACTGCCCTCGAGGCACACATTCGCTCTCGTCATTGGCACGAGGCCAAACGCGCTGGCTATAATCTAACACTCTCTGGTATGCTACCTGACCATGAGGGGATCCAAATGAAGTTGGATGCCTTGGAGACATCGGGCTATTCCCAAATGGCGTCTTCAAATATGGATGGACAAAGCTCCTCCATGTCGCCGGTGAATAGAGGAATTGATTCATCTCCCAGGGCTCTTCTGAGTCCTTCGTCCATTAAAGTTGAAGGAATGGAAGATTTTGAGAATTCAGCCATGGCTGCTGTGAACCTCAGCTTTGATCACAACAAACTGGATAATGACGACTGCTCCTCTGTCAATACAGCCATCACAGACACAACTACAGGTGATGAGGCTAATGCTGATAATGACAGCGCTGATGCAAAAAACAGCCAGAGTAGTAGTGAGTACCTGCCTAAGCCTGGGGGCTCCGTCCCCATCCTTGAAAATGATGACCAGATGTCCTCAGGGCTTGTAAGCCCTGCTACAAGCTATTATGCCAAGGACTGTGAAAATGAACATATAATTGACCACAGTGAGACATCCAGCCTGGCGGATCCTTGCTCGCCAAGTCCTGGAGCTTCGGGCACCAGGAGCATTGACAGCGGTGATCGTCCCGGTCAAAAGCGCTTCCGAACGCAAATGACAAACCTCCAGCTTAAAGTGTTGAAATCCTGTTTTAATGACTACAGGACTCCCACCATGTTGGAATGTGAAGTACTTGGCAATGATATTGGACTTCCAAAGAGAGTGGTTCAGGTGTGGTTTCAAAATGCCCGTGCCAAGGAAAAAAAGGCAAAGCTCAACATGGCCAAGCACTTTGGAATTAATCAGACATCCTACGAGGGTCCGAAGACCGAATGCACTTTGTGTGGTGTCAAGTATAGTGCCCGGCTCTCGGTTCGAGATCACATATTCTCCCAGCAGCATATCGCCAAGGTTAAGGATACCATCGGCAGTCAGATTGACAAAGAAAAAGAATACTTTGACCCAGCCACTGTCCGTCAACTTATGGCTCAGCAAGAGATGGACCGCATTAAGAAGGCCAATGAAGTTTTAGGATTGGCGCAGCAGCAGGCCATGCAGCAACAGGGAATATTTGATAACCCTGCAATGCAGGCGCTGAATCTACAGTCAGCCTATTCCAATCTACAAGGCATTCCACCTGTCCTCTTGCCTGGGGTTGGAAGCCCCTCTCTGTCCAGCTTTAACTCATCTAACTCAGGTAAGTCGCTATCATTTTGCATGTGATGACAACAATTTGAAATACAATTACATTAATTGTCATATAAAATGAAAATATACACAAAACAAATGTGATGGAACTACTGTCAATTGTTTTGTGATGTAAAAAAACAAACACTGTACAAAAATGTCATGTTTTAAATTGAACACATTTGCATTCATATTCACATTCAGTAGCACCTGCACATGTTGAATCGTGTTCACTTCAGTGTATACACTACTACATTCTTCTCAAACAAATCTTGTATGTGCAACTAATTATAAACCACGGTAAGGAAATATTTGGTTTTTGTTCAAGAACTGGATAGATGAGACAGAATGGCAAAATTACACGAGCATATATGGGAGTTGAAATTCCTATCAAATAATTTGTATTTGATTTTTATCTTTTCGGAGATTCTCTCACCTGAAGTCAGTTAATGCCCTCACTGTTGTTCTGTCTTTTTTTTTGTGTACACCTGAATTACAGCTTTAACTCCTCCGAAAACTTCAAACCTGCTGAACATGCCTGGTGCCAGCGTTCCCTCGCCAAGCTTGCCCACATCTGGACTGCCCAACAAACCACCCTCCTCATCATCCCTGTCCACATCAAGCCCAGCACAGACAAGCACATCTGCTTCCCACTCCAGCCCCACCTCGACATCCAACTCTACTTCCTCAAGCACCCCGTCCATCACCCGGCCTGAACACTCCAAAGAGCATGAAGTTGAGAGGTTAAGAGAAAAGGAAAAGCCCAAGGAAAAGACAGAGAAGCCCTCAACCCCGTCATCAACCGGAAGCACCCCTGCCCCTTCTACTTCTGCTGCCAGCGCCAAGAAGGAAAAGCCAGACCCAGCTGTTCCCGCCACCTCTATGCCCACACCCGGTATGGAGTATGTGGTAGATCCTGCCCAGCTTCAAGCCCTGCAGGCTGCCTTGGCTTCAGACCCGACAGCTCTTCTCACGAACCAGTTCCTGCCCTATTTCATGCCTGGCTTTTCTCCATACTACACCCCACAGATCCCTGGCGCTCTACAAGGTGGTTACCTGCAACCAATGTATGGAATGGAAAGTCTCTTCCCCTACAACCCTGCATTGTCACAAGCACTGATGGGCCTGTCCCCGGGATCTCTGCTGCAACATTACCAGCAATATCAGCAGAGCTTGCAGGAAGCACTGCAGCAGCAGCAGCGCCAGCTTCAACAAATCCAACAACCCAAGGCAAGCCAAACCCAAGCGCCCTCTAAATCCTTGGGGGATCGTAAAGAACCTGCCAAAGATCCAGTGAAAACAGAGGAGCAAAAGGGCAACCACCACCGTGCATCTCCCACCACACCTTGCACCTCCTCCACTCATAATAAAGTATGCGCCGAGCAGAATGAGTTGGACGGCAAAGCAGCGGATCTCCATCTAGACCAGTTCATCGTCCCCAAAGTGCAGATTAAACTGGCATGCCGGAAGTGTCAGGCAGTTTTCACCAAGGAAGAAGCGGCTATTACCCACCTTAAGTCTCACTGTTTTTTTGGTCAGTCTGTGGCAAACCTGCAAGAGATGTTGCTGCGTGTCCCCAGTGGCGTCGGCGCAGGGGCTGAAAGTCTCTACGACTGCCTGGCTTGTGACACTACGTTGGATGGGGGAAAAGCACTCAGTCAACATCTGGAATCAGCTTTGCACAAACACCGAACAATCAAGCGATCAGCCAGAAATGCCAAAGAGCACGCTACTAGTTTATTACCTCACTCTTCAGCCTGCTTCCCCACTCCTAACACATCTACCTCGCAGACCGCCACTCATCCCATCAGCAGCCCCACTCCGCCGCCAACGACATCAGCCACCATGCCAACATCTGCCCTGTCCACCCCTCTTTGCGCCTCCTCCTCCAATACACAGCTCAACACCACAGCCGCCAGCAAACCCTGGCCCCAGGCCCCTTTCTCCAGAGCTTTAGTCGGCAAGCCCAATGCCAGTCCCTCCTACGCTTCCTCCCTGTTTCCTCCCGTGTCCTCACCCTCAACGGTTACCTCAAGTTCATTGAGCACCTCAGGAGTTCAGACCTCGATACCAACAGACGTCTTTACTGACGAGTCTGACTCTGACAGCAGTCAGAAGTCGGCAGACAGACTGGGCAGGACGGCAGATGAGCCGCAGCAACCTGGCTTTGTCAAAGACAGTAGTACTTGTAGTAGTAATCTCGCTAGTGTCGGAACAGACTCCATCAGATTGTAAAAGAGCTTTCGGTGATGGACAGTGTTTAAAAAAAAAAAAAAAGAAAAAAAAGACAAAAATGGAAAAAAAAACACAAATGGAAAAAACAGAAAAAGCAGCAATGTTAAATACATTAAAGGTATACAAACCAATTTCAGAAAAAGAGATGTAAAAACTTACTGCAATTCCAAAGCTTGTAACCAAAAACTTTATTGTTAGTGGATTGTTTTCCCATATCAACATGCTGGTTTCCATTTTGTTTTTTTTTTTTTTGTTGAACTGAAACACAAGCATATTAATAATATATTAGAAGAGAAAGATTGATGCGGAGGAGTGCTGACAAATGGCCCAAGAAACCCTTTCAAAAAATTCTGAGTAGAGAAGATGTCCTTTTGTTTCGTAATAATTTATATTTAATAGCACAGTCACAAAAAAAGCCAGTATGTACTGTATGGGAGAATAGTCCGGTCCATGTTCTTGCTATTTAAGCATTCAGATACCAATGGCTTGCAAAAGTAAAATAATAATGTATTGTCGATTTTATTCTCAGGTCAATGGCTCGCAAATGTTTTCTTCTGTTACACAAATCCATGTTTTTACACGCTAGCTTTCCTCATCTATTGATTTACCACAACATTTTAATCAGAGTGGAAATTGGTAAGGCATTTTTTCTGGGCATGAAAATGGCAGTTAATTGGCAAAGTTGAACTAAAGACTAGATGGGAGGAGAATTGTTATCCCGTCATATCAAGGCAAAGAGTCATTGCAGACATAAAAATGGGCCATGAGTAATTTCGATTTTAAAGTTGGGGGGGTAAAAAAGAAAAAAAACAGCCCTCTGTATTTATGAAAAGTTCTGAACATTTTTGTTGTTATGTAGATTGGTGGATTGGAAATGAACCGAAGCAGCCTGAAAAACATTAGCTCTGTATTGTCCAACTTGAAGACGCTTCATCTGAATTTGTCTCGATCATTCCGATAGATTAGATAATGAGCCGGCAATTTATCTAAATGGTATTTCTTATTCACAACCTTCATCCAGACCCCCCCCCCCCCCCCCCGCCTCTCTGACAAGGAGGAAACCGCTTTAAGCGTTATTTGAAACGTATAGGTCAGTTGGTACTGCATCAACTGGATGAACAAGTTGTGGGTGTAACATTGAAACTTTTTATTTAATTTTTTTTATTTTTTTTGTTACCTTCGTGCACTTATTACTGTCTGACTCCCATTTCTCACTCTATGTGTTCTTATCTTCGCACTTATTTCCCTTGGCTGTCCTGTATTTGTAGATGCGATGCAGGTCCTCTCTTGTCCATGTAGTGTGGCTAGCTTTTAATTTTGTTGTCATTCATGAAAATGAAAAAAAAAAGAATACTAATAATAATTCTCACGCTTTAAGACAAAAAGAAAATCCAAAGACTGAACACTTTTCACCATTGGTGCATAAAGATGAGAAAAGAGGCTTCTTTATACTTGATAATTTGTTGCTGTTTTTAAAGGAAAGAAAACAACATTTTAAAAGATAAAGAAGTACGCATAAGAGTTGCCGTTTTTGTTTCCTCGCAAGCAAACAGGTGGCTTTTTGACGTAAATACCAAAAACCAAAAAGGGCCGTCGTCCGTGCATTGTGGAGTAGCACCGTTTCAGAGCCATTGCAGTTTGTAAGATAGAGTTATGAATCTTTGTTTGACTTTTGAAACATTCAAATGTCCATTTTTTCCCCCCCAAGATCATGTATAAAGTCTGGTCATCAAGGACATACGTTTTGCTGCTAATGTAGAATTTTGAAAGGAAAAAAAAATACTTAGATGCATGCTCATTTTGCTTTTGGCGAAGCTTTAACGAAAAAACAAACAATAAACCAATTTCTTGCCTCTCTGCAACACCTTTTTTGTTTCTTGTTGCAAAAACGGAACTTTGAAGACTGTGAATATCTATGTTCCAAAGGACATTTTGATGATTTTTCTTTTTTGGACAGACCAATGTTTTGAAGCCAATGATCTATGACAGTATGTGAAGAACAGTGCATTCCAAATACCACAATGTTGTTTTCTTTGTTAAGACGCAAGGACTGATCTTTTGTCATTTGAATTATTTTAGGTGTCATGGTCTATTTTCACTCTTTTTTTTTTCCACTGTTGTGCACATTTTAACTGAAATATCAATTTGTGCAGGCGCGGAACTCTCCATCCACTCGCGATTGTTGCTTAATTGTTAAGCAAGTAATGGTGGTTACCAAAACGTGTATATAATACATCTGGTACCTTTGTGTCTCCTAGGTTTTTATCCTATTTTTGCCAGTCAACATAAATTTAGTTTCAAAGGCGAATGATAGCTTTTTAACTGAGGTGCGATTGCCCGCCCACCCCTTGCAGGGAAATCCAGCAATGACTTGTCCCATGTGTAAGCAGGGTGCCACTTTTACGCATAGATTACAGGTCTTGAAGAGGGACATCTTCATTCCAAAGCATTCTTTCTTGTCGCGAGGAGTTTTTTTTTTTGGAGATGTCCCTTGGTTCAAATGGCGAGGAGGCTTTCGTGTCCCAAAGAAGTCACCCACTACATCATATCGCAATGGAAAGTGATGTGCATAGGTACCCCCACCCTTTCACTGATAACGAACAAAAATGTATATTTTTTCAACCAAAACCAAGACTTATTTAAATTTGCGAATAACTTCTTTTTGACCAATATTGTACAGCCAATTTATATAGATATATGTATACGCCCCAATAATCTCGAATGCCTTTTGGTGTTGATACCATAGCATGTTGTTAAGATCAAAGATTGACTCTGCAAGCTTGCCACTTCTCAAAAAATCTGTCCCCCCTGAAATTGTGGTCTTTTTTTAAGTTATATTGTCTTCCTCCTCCCTTAAATGTATTTTAATTTCCCTAAAAATGTCAAACATGTATTTTCATTTTATTATAATTATTTGTATGTTTTTGTGGTTTCTGTATATTATTTTTCATAAATCATAAATTAACACTAGCTTTGAATTAATTTTTTTTAATTAGGAAAAAATACAAAGGTATGTCCTGGTCACTTTATTGATTTTTATATAGATATATATATATAATTGTTTCAAAGCTGTTTCAAATATATCTTATTTCCAAAGTGTAATCATTTTGGCTCTCTTGTAGAGGAAGTTACAATCCCGACATCAGATTCCCCCAGCATGGCCTGTATATGAATATGAATTAGAATGCGTGTGCGTGCATGTGTTTCATAAGAGCCAATTAATTTCACTCTTTTTTTTTTGTGTGTTACACATCAAAACAAACTGAAACGCAATTCTGAGTAATTGAGAAAATCAAATGATCAAAGTGACTGTGATAGCTTTTACTTTGGTTGATCATATGAATGTGGCCAAAGCTTTATGCAGTTAACAAAAGAACATTTGTACACAACCCCCTCTCAAAAAAAAAAAGAAAAAAAAAGTGTATATTTTATCAAAATGTTACTGTGGATGTCTGTGTCCACAAAATCGACATTGGGATACTTTGGACATTGAAAAAGCGACAAGGTTACACCGTAGAGGTCATCTTTGCCCACTGTGAAAAGAAGTGTGTACCAGTATACAGATATAGATATATTTAAAACAAAACATCACTCTTTGTTTGTTTGTTTCTGATATGAAGAAGGACTGAAGAAAAAAAAACAAACAAACAACAAAAAACAGACTCTGTGAAGCTTTGGAGCTCTTGTCAGGAGGACACGAGAGGCTGTGGGCACACCAAAACTGGGCATGGGAGCCGAGGGCAGGCTCCAAAACAGCTTTAAATACCACCACCTTATCCGATTAGTGACAACGAGAATGGACTCTGGAACCGCTGGATGATGTGTGACAAACAGACAGAGAGAGAGAACTGAATCTTGACTCTAGCTGCTCTTTCCTCTTTCTTTCTCCCCATCTGCCTCTGCTTCTGCCCCTCTGATGGATGTTTCCCAAATTTCAGGACAGGATGGACAGAGACGCTGGCCTCTTTCCCCTCCTCCACGTTGCTACCTGTCTCCCTTTCCCCTCAGCTTGTCTTTGGTAGACAAGTAAAGCTCTCAAGTCACACGGCAGCTCGCCCCTCTCTGTTGGTTATGTGGTCAGAGGAAAAAAAAAAAAGAGAAAGTAACAGCAGAGAGCGGGGTCGGGTTCTCCACACTGTCTTTTATTGAAAAAGAGGCAGTTGTACACTTAAAGAAAAGCATATTAACCAAAATCAACAACCAAACTAACAACCAAACAACCATTTGCTCCAACGTCAAAGATGAACTGCTACTTGGGGCGATCTGTTCCTTTTGTGACTTCTGGTGCCACAACTTTTTCTTTTGGTTTATTTTGTTTTTTAAAACCTTTTAGACTTTTTTTTTTCGTTTCTTTAAATGACTCCTCGTTCGAGCCTCATAAGCATGGCTCCGGGGCTCCAGGCAGCCCAGCTGAGGGTAGAAAAAAAACAGCCTTGCAATGTACAAAAAAGAGCAAGTTAAACCAAAAATGTTGTTCTTGATGTCTTTTCTATACTGTAGTCTTGTTAGCTTTTTTGTTACTGTAATTATATGATGAAGATTTCCTGACTGTACCAAATGACATGGAAACTGACGTACATCCAAACCACATGGAACTTCAGACTTTTAAAAAAACTTTTGTCACAAAACCTTGTTGTCCTAGTTAAGTTGATTGTAGATGTTAATTGAATATACTCCTTTGAAAATATTTCATCAAGTATGTTTCTTGCTCATTGTGATACATTAAAATAAGTATGAGCATAGACTTTTGGGCTTTGGACTCATTCTTCTCTGTTCTGATGGACTCTATGAATAAAAAGATTCACACCTCATAATTATGTCTGTAAAACATTACTTGCATGATTATATGTCTTATTTATCTATGCAGAGAGAAAGAGAGAGGGAAGTGTGTGTGTGTGTGTGTGCGTGTGTGTGTGTGTGTGTGTGTGTGTGTGTGTGAGAGAGAAGTAAAAATTTTTGACTGGCAAATAGTTTCAAACGTACTTGTAGGTTAATTGCTACAAATGAAGTATATTTCCTAAATGCCACGGGGTATTGACTTGCACGTGTGTGAGGTAAAATAAAAAGCTGGGGAGGGTTTTTTTGTTTTTTTAGCATTTGGCCCACATTATACAAATACATTTAAAAATTAAATACGTTAACATTGTTCATTCGTAGGGTGGAATGGTGTTCGACTGGTTGGCTTGTTGACCTCATAATGCAGAGGTGCAGGGTTCGATTCCAGCTCCGGCCTTATTATGTGGAGTTGGCATGCTCTCTCCGTGCCCGCGTGGGTTTTCTTAGAGTAATCTTGTTTCCTCTTACATTCCAAAAACATGCATGCCAGGCTAATGGGACACTCTAAATTGTCCCTAGGTGTGATGGTGAATGCGATGAGTTGTTCGTCTCTGTGTGCCCTGCAATTGGCTGGCAACAGGTTCAGTGTGTACCCAGCCTACTGCAAGACAGCTGGAATAGGCTCCAGCATGCCTCACGCTCGACCCTTGTGAGGATAAGCAGATCAGAAAATTGTAAGATGGAATTTCATTCAGAATTGTGTGGTTGTCAGTGCATGATGTACGTTTCACATTTTTTACCAAAATGCCACGGGCTATTGACTTCCGCATGCCATTATTGGGGGGGGGGGGGTGTAAATGTTTTCTGATTAAACCAATACCAATACATTAGAAAATTAAGAAAGCAAACATTCTTTATTCTTGATTTTATGGTTTTCTCATGGCTGCAGTGCGTGATTTGTTTGGCATTTTGCCCATATTTATGCTAACTAAATACCCTGCGGCATCATGGGAAAATGCTATGTTTGTAGCATTTCTTCTCCAAGTAAGCTGAAACATCGTTGCGAGTACAAGTACCTTTTACGTTCGAATCATTTTGTGCGTACGTTCACCCGTAATTGTCAGTCAAAACTTTCTTACGACACGTTGTCTAACTGCACGCTGCCGGAACTTCACGTACGTGATAACGTCACTGTTCAGCGCATTTCAATAAAAAAACGGGGGGCGGTGCCTCGCGTGATCGTGTGTAAACAGAGTAGCGTTTAACGTTCTCGTTATTGTGATATTACTTGTTATGGTGCATGAAAGCATAAAGTTAAAAGTAGAAATAGACTCGTTAAGAAAGAGACCCTGGAACTGACGATTAACTATCTTTGAATTTCAAAAATTCGCTGGTGTCCGGATCCAATGACGACATTCGCTCTGAGGAGAAGTCCATCTTGGGTTTGATTTCGTGCTGGGTTCATATTATGGTGTGCTTCGACTTTTATTGTTTGCTCTGTCCATTTATTTGGACAATTTGTGAAGTGACGTAGGATGCGAGTAACTCCGGGTTACAGTATATCAGGCAACTTGTTACCGAGACGTGCTAGCATACCGTTGGCTAAAGTTTCCTTAATTACGATATAGATCTACTATGCACTTATTTTCATGAACTCGGACCACAATTTTAACTTCTGGGCAGAAATGAAAACTAAAGGAGGGCATTTTTTCGAAAAATCTAAAAACTCACAATCACTATTTTTGTAAATACAGTAACTCAAAACGAAAACATACGCCTGGTTTTGTGATATTTGTGTGTGTGTGTGTGTGTGTAACAGTGAAACGAACTAATAAATTATAGCGGAAGTGACTCAACAGCAAAGATTGTGGCACCTGCTTACCGCCGTACGTCGTCAGAAAGACGAGGAATGCAGAGTGGTGAGTTGCATCTCGTTGATGAACAATTCTAGATAATTTCAATTTGTTTTTCTTATACTGCTGTGTGTTGTGCTCAAGTATTTCCCCTTAATTGTTCTGAGCCCACATGTTTTCTGTGTTGTTGTTAAAGTGGCGTTTTTTTTTTGTAGACTAAAACTTATTACGGGTGGAGTTGATTAGCAAACGCTCGTTTGTTGCGCAGAAAATTGTGCAGGACTGAAAGCGTCTTCACCATTGTTCCCGTCATACCGTGTTGCAGGTAATGTATATCTTTTGTTACTTTTGCTTTATCTTGTGGTTCATGTTGCTATTTTTCATTTATTCGACTGTATTTTTGGTGCATTTCATTGTAGACGCCATTCACGTTTGTATTACGCAGTCACGTGTCTGCAGTATGTTCGTCAACGAGAATGGATGTGTTATTTTTCTCCTTTACTATGTGTAGTTGCAAAAATTGGTTAGTAGGAATCATATCATTTCTACCAGAATGCTTTAGTTAAAACACTACACGATCACACACACACACACACACACACACACACACACACACACACACGCACACGTATATTTTGTTTTTGTTTAAGAGAAGAAACAAAATTTTGTTTGTCAGGCAGAGCTATGAGGAATGCAGAGTGGTAGTTGACCGGAACTGAACGTGGCTTCACCTTTGCTCCTGCCATACTGTGTTGCAGTGTTGTAATAAAAAGAACATCTGTAATCCACCTGAGTGTCAGTGATGTATTGAACCGACAGCGATGTAGAGCTCAAGCTGCCACACTCAGTATCGGCCCAACATGCACACACACACACACACATTCACACATATATACATACATACATCACATCATTTTCTTTTCAATTTATTGTTTTTTGTTTTTTTTTTGCATTTTCTTTGCCTGCCAACATTGTGTCCACGAAACATAGCGAAATATCTGGTCAACAAACGTTAAAAAAAAGCCATTGCCAGACTCATGATTTAATGTAATCAAAGCAGATCACAACAGGGCACAAATATCTTATATGCACCATATTTATACAGTAAAAGACTCAACAGATAATTTATCATAAATATGTGAAAACAGATTGATATAGGGGGTCTTAAGGGAACTTAAACCTCCAAAGAAGAGTCCATCCTTTCTTAAGCAACAGGCGAGATTCACTGGCCATGTTGAGCCAATTAACACACAAGGGCACATCCCGAATGAATTAAAAAGACCCTAATCTGATCTGTGTGAAAAGCAAGGCCATTTGCTTCAGAGGCCAGGACCAGATGGCACTCACACTGTGATAGTGCATTGAAACAGGCCAGACCAAGTCACGCAGTGTGAAATTGGGTTAGCGCCTTGGCCTAACACAGGCCTTGGGCAGTGTGAGGAGAATAGCCCACCTCAGTAATACTTGTCCCCATATTTAATTATAATTCTCAATGTGTCTCAGTACGTCATTCATTGTAAGTGAGCGATGGGGCGTATGGCTTTTACTTTTCAGCTGTCTTTTTTTACCAGTCAATTTCTGACATACTCCCAAAACACAGTGAAATACCATATACAGTATGTCTTTTGAGGGGTAAAAGGCAAGCATGGCTATTTTGGATGGACTGACTCTGCTTTGGCATTCTAAACCACGGTGTATAAATGTGTGCGTGTGTGTGTGTGGCGCATTGTTCCGTGTTTCATTATCTCTATAGAATAGAGATCGACGAGTTGATCACATTTGTCATGCCTTTGTTTATCGTAGTTGCTTGTTATTGCAAGACTACTGTTGCCCATACTACCGGAGACAAATTCCTTGTGTGTTTTACATACTTGGCCAATAAAGGTGATTCTGATTCTGACAAGTGGCATCAAATGGATAAATGGATGGAGGTCCACCATTGTTCTGTTTTGTGCACACGATTTTGCAAGGCAATAAGTTCAAGCTCAGCACAGTAGTAGTTTTTTAGACAGTGGTTCGCAAGTAGGCCTATGTGACCGTTTTTATTTTGTGGGTTGTTTTAGTGGGCTTCTCAGAGGAGAAAGCTGCACAAACAGCATCAGCTGTGTCTGTCTCGTTATACTGTAAACTGTCACATTCGATTGGTGTAGTCTGTGATCACTCATCAAGAACAATCATAAAATAAATATGCTAACTGGCTGGCTTGCTTCAGAAAGACAGCTGTGGTCCCAGTTAGTGATTTCCCTCACCAAACAAGTGTAAACCTTCCAGAGTTCTACCTTGAGCCGCCCCACGGCACAGGAAATGTAAAAGTAAATCATTTCAACTTAAAAATAATTAACCAAACAAAACTTTTCAGTGGGAAAAGCAGCAGGGAAAATGTGCCAGCGTCTTCCAGTTGGGGGCGTGATGAATCTGCTAAAACCAGTTGTGTCCACACCAAGCCAGAAGTTCAAAGTTGGCATGATTTGCTGTGCATTGTGACCTAAGCTTCTGCATAGCAAGTGATCCCCACAAGTCAGGGCATCGAATGGAGATGTCCGTGAAGAACAGAGCTCAAGAGTAAATAGCTTGAGCGACAACGTAATGTGGCGGATAAATAAAGAGCAATGATGACGAGCTGATCACATTTCTACACTGAAAAAAAGCAAGCCGTTAGCTTCCAAAGAAACCCATTGTTAGTCCGCAGTTGTGCTGTTGGACTGAGTGGCAGGTAAACACCCTTCACTCCAGGATCCATGCTGGGAAGGTGTGCAGCCTAGCATAGCAGGCTGAGGGCTGTGCCGCAGCACTTCCCGTTTCTTGAACACAGGATCAAGTGTCACCATTTTTGCAGCGCCTTCTGGTTCTGTTTAACAGGAAATGAGGTCCATCAGAAGAAGTCCGACCAAAACTGAGTCGGAATGGACCCTGACAGGCAGGAATATTAGCCTGTGACGGCAGTCGGTAATTGAATGATCAGTCCCCCCCCCCCCCCCCCACCCCAGCAATAAAAATGACACTGATGGTTGGCTCCCCCTGTGTGTTTTTTTTTTTTTAAAAAGTAGCCCCCCCCCCCCCCCCCCCATCACTCATAATGAAGAGAATATGTGCATGGAATGTGTTTGTCCTTCTATATCCTTTACCTGCCCCTTTCCTTGTCTCGTTTTCCCTACTTTTAGCCCTTAATAAATCATGTGCTGGAGCAGAAATAAGGGAGAATTTTCCTCAACTTCAAAGTGCCTTTCGTGTCATTTCTGTAACCTCAATGTGATGATGCATTGAAAAGGCTTCTAGTGCGCTCTGCTCGAGAGTGCGTTCCCCTTGAAACAACGTCGCGCTGACAGTGTTGTGGGAGCGTGAGTGCAAGTACATGAGAGATCAATTATTACACCTCATTCTGCTCTCATATGCAAAATGATAATGGGTGTACCATGTCAGAGCCGAACCATCAGGTGGTGTATCCTTTCTCCGTAAATGTGTTTCACAGATTGTCTGAGAATAGTCTGTTAAATCCCTTTGGACGTTAAAGCTGAAGGGAAAGAATTTGGCTTCTCCTTGATCTGTCTTCAAATGTCCCTCGGTGGACATGATTTAAGAGTAATAAAACAGCAGAAAGGGATGGTGGGGGATCAACATGATGTCACTTTACACATATGAACACCACTTTCATATAGGAAGATGTTTAAAAAAAACAAAATTCGTCTTGGTTTTCCTGTGTGCCTCTTGTGTTTGTGCCACAAAAAAAGGCTTCATTGAGACCATGGCTGAGGAAGGGCGTTGTTATTAGGGAGGCGAGAAGCCCAACTCGGAGGTGCAGCATCATATTTCACATAGGATGTGAACTCTGGGACGGATTCTTAATACAATAAGTGCTTTGAGACTTGTTCGTATATGGATATTTCTGTCTCTCTTTTTTTTTTTTTTTAAAGGCTTTTTGTGTTTTTCAAAAACCTAACCAAAATCACTTGTAGTGTGTTGCTGCCGGAATGCCTGTCAGCCTGCATGGGCCCATGACCCTGAGCTGGCTGCTATAATGATTGGAAGATGAAAGAGCCAGACCCATTCCCAGGCTGCCCTGTTAGGGGGTGCAAGCCTGTGAAATGGAGAGATAATAGAGACCAGGTGGACTGTGGATGCCTGAGACACTCCTCAGTCATTCGGAGAGTTCCTCCCAGTGAGAAGGAGGGCAAACCAGTACCAAGAGTGTGATTCCTGTAACCTGCGGTGGGCTTTAGATCCATTTCCATGACATCGTTCTTCAGTGAAAAGGTATTAAATTGGTGTTTTGTCCAAGGGAACCGGCTTTTTGGGAGTCCAAATACAAACATTGTTTTAAACCTGGTCCCAGAGTTAATACATGTGAAAACTCTGCCCTTGTGGTTCTCTGTGTTCAATTGAACGCATGCACATGCACACACATCTTTCCTGAGATGATAACGCAGTAGGCCCCGTTCTTAGGTGACAGTGACTACGTTTAAATGCAGTCGGTAACCTTTTGAATATTGCCAATACTCCGGTTTTGAAAGGTCACATAAACGTGCAATAAAAACCAAAATACGCTGAAATTTGAATTTTTAAAAACCCCTTTTCTAACCCAAATATTTAGTCATACAAAGGCGATCCGAATACCTCCATTGAAAGGAAAATTGATTTGTGTTTTGCGTATACACTGTCCTTCAAGAATCTTGGTCATTTGAGCACATTATTTTCTGTCTCTGCGGCACAAATGACACAGTGGCCGTGCGTCTGAGGGGCGACGAGTAGAGGTAAATGAACATGTAGCAGAAACTCAAATGCATCACAGAAGCAGCGAGGAGGAAACAGACTGCTTTATTTGGGTGCAGCATGACATGAATAAAATGTGTGTTATTGATGATAGAAAGTAAGAAGTGGAAAAGATGTCTGTTTGCGTCATGACGTTACCTGTACGTCACCTGTTTAGATCGGGATATTCCAGTTGATCGCAATTAGCGTGTAAACAGGAGTAAATTTGTCCAGTCATGCATGCAAACATTTTATCCCGAGTGTGTCAGAAACCATAATTTTGACTTTAACCCGAATATTGACTACTGTATTATCCGGACTATAAGGGGGTATGATTTATGCTCTGTAGCGATTTATGTGTGAAATTATTAACACGTTATCATTTCACGTTATTTTCACATTAAATCGCAAGAGGGCGCTCTAGGCCTGTGTTGATAAGTCGACTGAGTCTGATGTAAGCGACGTAGAAGAGGAAGTGCAGCATCTTCTACCTCCAGAGTTGGCAGAGTTGTTTAAAACTTACACAGAAGATGCAGATTTCATTGGATTTAATGATTTGGAGTGACACTGATGGTTTGGTAAACTTGTTAGCATGTTCTTTATGCTATAGTTTTGTGAATAACTCTTAATATGTTACGTGAACATAGCAGGCACATTTTCAGTTCGTTGTTTATGCGTCATGTAACGTTAGCATCTCGTACACTTATTCAGCCTGTTGTTCAGCCTTTGAAGATAACATGTCTGTTCTTGGTGTTGGATTTTATCAAATAAATTTCCCCCAAAAATGCAATTTATACGATTTATACGTTTTTTTTCTTTAGAATGCATTTTGTGGCTGGTGCGACCTATACTCCGGAGCGGAGTACACATAATGGAAAATACGGTATGTGTAAACATCATCAGTATATGGATGTTTGCTCGTAGGACATTGATGTGAAGTTTCACCCCGAGCATTCACATCACCTGTCATAGTGTATTGAAAGCAATTGTCCCTGTTGCTAGGCAGCAAGCTTTTTTCACACACACACACACACACACACACACGCACACACATTGAGGCGTGAATGGTCTGAACAAA